ATACCTTCTGACGTAGCTGTACCACGGCCCTTAACCCCAATCACAGGTACAATACCTTCTGACGTAGCTGTACCACGGCCCTTAACCCTAATTACAGGTACGATACCTTCTGACATAGCTGTACCACGGCCCTTAACCCTAATTACAGGTACGATACCTTCTGACATAGCTGTTCCACGGCCCTTAACCCCAATCACAGGTACGATTCCTTCTGACATAGCTGTACCACGGCCCTTAACCCTAATTACAGGTACGATACCTTCTGACATAGCTGTACCACGGCCCTTAACCCCAATCACCGGTACAATACCTTCTGACGTAGCTGTACCATGGCCCTTAACCCCAATCACAGGTACGATACCTTCTTACGTAGCTGTACCACGGCCCTTAACCCCAATGACAGGTACGATACCTTCTGACATAGCTGTTCCACGGCCCTTAACCCCAATCACAGGTACAATTCCTTCTGACGTAGCTGTACCATGGCCCTTAACCCCAATCACAGGGATGATACCTTCTGACGTAGCTGTACCATGGCCCTTAACCCCAATCATAGGTACGATACCTTCTGACGTAGCTGTACCACGGCCCTTAACCTCAATCACAGGTACAATACCTTCTGACGTAGCTGTACCATGGCCCTTAACCCCAATCACAGGTACAATACCTTCTGACGTAGGTGTACACGGCCCTTAACCCCAATCACAGGTACGCTACCTTCTGACGTAGCTGTACCACGGCCCTTAACCCCAATCACAGGTACAATACCTTCTGACGTAGCTGTACCACGGCCCTCCAGAAATCCTTGGCCTCTACTCGATGGCAGTCATCACACATCTGGTTGTTGACTACAAACTCCACCACAAACACCTGCTGCAGCATGGCACTGTTCAACACCTGGGGGAATGCACCACAACTAACATTTTGTGCTGGTCATTTTAAACTTGTTAAAACCAGGGATGGAATTTACAAGATTAAGTGAATACAAATATAATAATTACAACTGATCGAACCAAAGATGCAACTTCCACATTTATATGAATTAACAATTGTTACCTTGAATATTTTCTGATATTTAACAGTGTTGAATTTGTCAGTCACTCAGACTAGATGTTTTTAGTTTAGTTTAAACAAATATTATTTCATGATACAACAAAAGGATTAGGCACAAGTTATCACAACTTATTGATGCCTTTTCCTGATTGAATTATAAAACAACACATTATAACTCAATAGTCTAGCTGTAAATATGATTGACAAATTTTATGTAAGAGAGGGTATAGGAGGCACGCATATACGGTAGTCTAGTGGTAGGACGCCTATAGGAGGCACGCATATACGGTAGTCTAGTGGTAGGACGCCGTGCTCGTGACTGAAAGGTTGCAGGTTCAAGTCATATCATGGCACTGTGTTGTATCTTTGAACAAGATACTTTGCTCCGCTTGTTCCAGTTTACTCAGCTGTAAATGAGCATGTGGTTGGGCAGTACTAGAATTGTTGAATGCTAGCTGTGTGCGCCGAAATGGCAGCAGCGGCTGTATGCTCCCCAGGGAGTAGAGAAAGATATTGGCTGGTTGCAAAGGCCCAATATAACAACAGATAATAATTTGTGAACTGCTTTGAGACGACCTATAAACCAGGGTGTGATAAAGTGGTATATAAGAACCTCAAATTATTATAATTATTTGTAAAAGCTTAGGGTATGTGAAAGTAGAAGGGAGAATACTATACATTAAACAGTGTTAATCCTTTCACCACTGTAGACCATAATTGACTCATCCAGATCAATGCATGGTAGAGTCTACTAAAGTCACATAGGGGTGAAAGGGTTAAGAACTATGTGGGCTACCTCTTGTCGAATATTTCAGCCCATGTGATTATGTTATAGTTTTCTCGGTGTACATGTTTGTTATAGTTGTTGCTCTGCCTATGAACTATGATAATGGCTGTCGAAATGATGTTTAGGTTGAAGGAAAACTAGCCATGTTCAAAGATAGCACACTACACAAAACAAAATGCGATCCCATGGTGTGGTATATAAAACCTTCCATGGTAGATAGACACCAAGGTTACGAAGGGTTACGAGAAACCAGTGAGATTTTTTGGCCTTCAGCTTTTTGTTTACCTCTTTCTGTACAGAAAGCTTAACCTTTATCCTCTGTGAGTGGGGCTCTGTCCACACAAAGCCAGCATCAACCAAATGTACCTGGAAAAACAAAAGCTTTGTTTGTAAACAATAACTTGATAAATAAACAATAGCTTTGTTAATAAACAATAACTTGGTTAATAGACAATAACTTTGTTAATAAACAATAACTTGGTTAATAAACAAAAACTTGGTTAATAAACAATAGCTTTGATAATAAACAATAGATTGGTTAATAAACAATAACTTGGTTAATAAACAATAGCTTTGTTAATAAACAATAAATTGGTTTATAAACAATAGCTTTGTTAATAAACAATAGCTTTGTTAATAAACGACCAATCAGTAAATGTCATGGGCCGAATTGTTCAAAACTGATCGCTCATTACCTTGAATATTCAAAAACTGAAATCTTCAGATAATCATTTTGAATCTCTATATATTTGTGCACATACAAATTTTGAAATGAATTTTAATATCGGTACGTTTCCAAATACATGTATACATTAAATGATAGATGAAATATTGGCTGTGGCAAACTTGACACTTCCTTCTATTTTTTTAAACATTGTTTGGTGTTAATATCAATTAGATAAACCCTGCCGTCTAGAAGCTTTAATGTATGACTAAATGAGCAATTCTAATTTTCTTATATTTACATTAGGCTTCAACGATATATTGAACCATATCTATCGCATCATGACACTTTCCTGTGTATTATTTGGTGTGCCCGTATTGTAACCAAAAACCATTCCAAAATGGAGGTCAATATGTATTGCTTTTCCCGGTCAGAAGTGTCACTCTTGACAGCTATTTGACAGACATGTGCATAGTGTTAACAGCAAATGAGTGTAAAGAGAGACTACGAAAATTTCCCAGTCAGAAGGCGAGCGATGGATATGTATCAAATTTATAAAGATTTTGAGAATCTGCAATGTTGTTATAACAACTGTATTTACCCGGTACAAGGAATAAGTATTGACGTATATTTGTTTATGCATTTAGTGAATTAACTAATCATATTATTATCAAAACAAATGGCCATCAATTCGTGGCTGTATATCATGGCAGAAAAAACATGGTTACTCGGTTTTTGTTCGGATATATAGCACACACGGTCATCGACTGGCATTGTTTCTAATCTTTGCAGCCCTAGTTTACATTTCTCTGTAGTGTAAAGGGGGGATAACTCAAAACGTTCCTTGGTTTACCAGGTATTACCTTGCTAAGACCAGCTTTCAATTTCTTCAGACAGACTGATAAAAGTTCTCTGGACTCCAGTGAGGCATTGACCCAGTGACTCGGAGGCTGTAGATATCTATTGAGAGAAAGCAGAACAGGAATAGGAATGTCAGGACTGTAGTCATGGGTGTTCTCAGTTGATCAGGAAACTAAAGTTCATTGTTCAATAAATTGATATTTTATGTCATCGATAATAGAGCTACAGTATGTATATATATATATACTCAGCCTATTGGCAACCTGGGACAAGTTCACAGAATAAAACAGTGAAACAGGAAATCACATGTATTAAAAATTATATTCATCCATATATATAACATGGGTTTATCAAGGGTTTTTGAGAAAATGACCCTGGAAGGAGGAAAATCATCGACATAATATATAGCCATTTTAGGAAGTATGGAAGATCATTACAACAGCTCTGAATAAAAGAAGTTTGACTGTTAAAACTTTTATCTAAGCCAAAATGTATGCCAAATTGATCATTCTGTCTTTCATGTGACAATCAATCATGAGGAATGTATGTAAATGGATGTATTAATTTGTAAAGTTCAGTGACACATATTGGGAAGCATCATACACTTTTTTATCATGAATGGGTCAGTTTTGCACCTATAATGATGTCAAAATCTGTGGTTGGATAGAAGGGCAAAGTGACGATATCACTTGATCAGACAATACACTACACACAGTTTCACAAGGAACAATAATATCTAGGGCTTGTACATTATATACAAGCTGGTTTAGAACAATTTTTTCAATATTTTACAATGAGAATAAAAGTCCGACTAGTATTTGTTTTCTTTAAAAGTCTGTCTGCAGGCTTAAAAAATGATGCCCTGTACATGTTATGACCTACCTCTCACAGTTCCTACAGAAATACAGGACGCCTTGTTTTGGGATGCCCTCTGTGATGTCCACCTGGGTCCTCAGACAGGACACACACGTGTTGGTGGGATTGGGTTCTATATGGGTACCACATTGACAGCATAGTCTGGAATTAATCATTATTAAATTCTTACATTAATTTATCCTACATTTCAATTACACTGGAAACGTTTAAGCGTCAATCTGAGTTTACATTATCAGTAACCAATGCAAACTGACAACACTGTCCATTTAGTTGGTTTCCCAGTTACTTATATTGTTAATCAAATATACATCTAATCAATTTGCATTAATAACTTTATTTTCCATGTTATAATAATAAATAATAATAATAATATCTTTTATTTATCCAGGGTTACATATTTAGACAATGTCTAGTTTACAATATGGCCCTGCATTAATACATATATACAAGCATGACAACAATTTTTGCATAATAATAGGATGATATGTTACATAAAATAGAATTACAACATTACGAACAGTATATTTAATATCATAGATCAGACAAATCAGGGTTTTGTAAAGTAATGATCCAGATATCTGCCTTTAAAAACACTAACACTACATGAATCTCTAACTGTGTCACTTGTTTCGTTCCATAACACTGAACATGTATATGCAAATGATCTCTTAAAATACGTGGTTCTGGNTTTTTTTGACCAATCAGAACATGTGTTTCAAGCTTAAGCTGAAAAGAGATGAAACATGGCAACATTTTAGGAATAGGTGCAGCTTTAGCAATATTTACATTAAAAGGCTTGAAAATGCTACCAGAGTATGCAAATTAATAAAGTGAAAAAGGCTACTGATGTATAATAACATCCTGAAAGTTGATGCGGTTATATAATTAAGTCATATCACATGAATATTTTTCATGTAGAACTAATCAATAAGCATAAGAATCTTGTTACTTGTAGCAGTTGGAGTGTGATATTTGGCTTTGAAGATGTATTCTTCAGCTTTAATCAGGATTGGAACAACTAGTACTCTGCATGTTTGGAAACAGTTATTGTGTACAAAAACATTTTTACTGTTGTTATGGCGAATAAAGTGAAATAAAGTTTTTTTAAAACATTATGAACAAAAAGGGCGTTCTTTCAATATAATAAAAATAAAATGTAATGAAGTACAAAAATATTTGTCTATATATATGTTTACAAATCTATGTATCTATGTAAAATATGTGTTGATTCAATTGCATGTCTAACTTCTTGTGAAATGACAACACTGTATTACCTCCATTGCTTAATATTGTGTGGTGTAGCGTATAAAAAGCACACAGAAAAGAATCATGCTTGCCTGTCACATTTGCACAGGACTATCCCAAAGACTTCATACTGTAGTCAATGGAAAACAAAGCCAGTGATATGGTTTGCCATTGTAACCAAAAGTTAGCCATCAGAATTGATAATTTTTGTGAACAAGTGTATTAGTTATTGGATTTTGTTAAAAAGAACTCTTTTTTTTTTACTTTATTTTATTCCCAATAACAGTAATAAAACTGTTACTGTAAACATTAACTTTTGCCGTTTGAAGCAATAAACTCCCATTTAGGAGTGAGTTACATCCCTGCAACTGGGTTCCGGGTTGTTTCGCCCCAAATCCTGTTCGCCCTAGGTTGTTTCGCGCCAGGTTGTTTCGTCCCAAAACAAAATGTTTAGGGCGAAACATTGTTTGGTATTTTCTTTTCATTTTTATTTGTTTTAAGTCACAAATTAAGTCTTCTTTGTCTTTCATATCATTAAAATCAGTTTTATTAAAAAAAAATGTGTTTGTGTTGTTTTTAAGTACATTGTATTTAGCAAAAAACGGATTACGTTATTTTACATGTACAGGTGCATTTTAAAAAGAACATATTCCGGATATTAGTATGTCTTTTGTCGGCTTCGGTGATGAATATACAGGTTTGTTCTTTATCTTCCGGCACCTAATTATACGTATATTATACTTTTAACATGATATTTATGACTTAAAAGGAAAAATACATTTTTTAGGGCGAAACAACCTGGGGCGAACAGGTTTTGGGGCGAAACAACCCTTAGGGCGAACGGGATTTGGGGCGAAACAACCCGTTACCCTGCAACTGTTACCCAATGGCAAATCAAGATTATTACCCACAGACGAGGTTGAATTGTGGCCAACTTGACATTAATTAAATACAATTTGTCGGGTTGGCGGACAACTTGGTGGGTTTTTTTGTCGATACTACGACAGGTTGAATTTAGTTAGACATGTTTTAATTCCGGCTAAGTTTTACCTTTCTGTGCATTAGGGTTTTTTTCTCATTTGCGACATGTACCTGTGGGAGTAAGAACTATATTTACGACAATATATGTCAGTATGTGTAGCCCTCTCATCTTAACACAGCTTATGTTGTTTTTCCATTCAAAGTCAGAGTAACAAGAACATGTGCTTCCAAATCTAGCGAACTCCAGACGCTCGGTGAAAGAGGGGGTCGTCTCCCGACACCCTCGGAGTCGGAGTGTCTGGAGTTGGATTACTTCCAACGTGTCATATCACTATGCCAAAGTATTTTTCGAAAGTCTTTTGATAATGTATCATTTCGTAAGGTATCAAATTATAACATACTGAGACCCATACTTACATGAAGTTTACAGATGGTGTGGGTTTTTCTTTCATGTACTCCATTTCTGTAATTATGGGTTTATTACGAGAAAACCCGTATTCCCAACCACATGGGATAGTTGTGAAATTCAGGCGGAAGTCGTCACAATATAACTAAAACAAAATAGACGAAACGAATCCGGATTCCGGATATTTTCTTAGAAATACTCATTGAGACGTTAGATCCGTGTGTTTGGATAATAGATGAGTCGTAAACAATGTGGAAGTTTTTTTTTGTTTTGCTATTTTTGCATAAGAAAGACACATTTTAATATCATCAACAGCCTATTTTTTTGTTCATTTCTGTTTGAGCCTCTACGTCCCTAATTTGTGTCGTATTATCTTTCACACAGAGATCATCACGGACAACCTCACAACTTGTTTTAATGTTTGAATGGGGATTTAAAAAAAATAGCACATGGATGTTTTTGTTTTAAGAACTTACTAGTTAAGTAAGTGGCCAACACTACAAACACGGCGCAGCTACACAAGAATTATCCTTTTTTACAAAATCATACACAAAATCTTAGCTTTAAAACCCAACTCATATACTCACACCCGTAGACCCTCGCACCAGACATGCACACCCTCACGCATACAAACACATATCTGCAACAAAGGACACCTACAAATATTCATTCTTTCAACACACAATAACACAATGGAATCTCCTTCCCATAGCAGCAGTACAATGCACAACACTAGAGGACTTCAAGGCACAGTTACCCTACACAGCCCTTGAACCCCTCATCACACGCTAAACATACGCCAGATTTTATCTTTGTATATTTACCTTGCACAAAAAAAATCACAAAAAAAACTAATCACTGTAAATAATCCCCCTTTTCACGCCTCTGCAACAGGACCCCCCGAGGGCATAAACATCAAATTGACGGAGCCCCCGTACGACAAAGAAGAAGAACAACTTATTTTTACCATTTTGTATTAATTTTCTATTTCTACAAGTATTTAAAAGTCGTGATGAATTTATTTACTCTTAAAACAATCAGTGCAAGCTTAGAAAACAAGACAGCCAGTGGTTGACACATTGTTCTTTATCAAGACAAAATCTTTACATCGCTCAGGACGTTAACCCGTGTATGTTCGGAGAAAGAATAACTTCCTGAGGTGACTTGCATTGAGCGGCCTTTGCAGAACTGGATATTTTCTTCTGTCCCAGCCCCGCTTACATCTTCAGAAACAAATCTTCCAGTGGCAGATATATAAGGGGTTTCTGAGCATCACATATCCTCCCCAGCCCCCAGCCCC